GCCGCTGCCGTCGTGCCCCCCGGCCCCGCGACCATGAGGGGCTAGGCCACTGCCGCCGCTGCCGGCGGCGGTAGCATTGATCCAGGCGCCGCCGCCAGCGAAGGTGCCGAGGAACGACCCGCCGGCGGTACCGCTGCTCGCCGGGCCGCCGCCGCCGCCGCCGCCGCCGGCGGACGAGGTGGTAGAGGCGTTACTCCTGCCGCGGCGGTGGTTTTCGGAGCAGCTGGAAGATTCGCCCAGGCGGGTGGCCTTGTGGGAGAGGATCGAGTAGAGGTTCGCCCACGCCGCCTCGTCGGACCGGCAGCGGACGGCCGGAAGGGAGCCCGCGATCGTCAGGGGGAGGGCCAGCGCCCCGCACGCCTGTGGGGTGGTTGTTAGTGCGTGGCGCGCATTTGGTTCGGGGGAGACGAGGGGGGTTCAACACGAGTAGGTATATATCAAATAAGGCGTACAGGGTAGGGGCCGGAGCGGTTTCAACTCGAGACGAGGCCGCACGAACTACAGCGACAGCAGCAGCAACAGCAGACAGCAGAAGCAACAACTACTACGACAACGACAGATGGGCAACAGCGAGAACAACAGCAACGGTCACCAAAATGAAAAACGCAGGCACACGGCTTATGGAGGGCGGGGATTTCATCAAGTGCAAAAAAACAAACAAACGCCGCCGCCGCACCTTGATAACTCCGTCCGCGGAGGGGGGGAGAGGCGCCTGCCAGGCCAGACCGCTGCAACGTCGGAGCAGAGACCTCGCCTCGTCCCTCGCGAGCCCTCCGACATCGAGACGGGTGCAGAGCGGTGAGTCCGGCACCAGGTCCCTTCCACATTGTATTTTTATTACATCGCCCAAGTTATTGTGGTGAGATACTTTCGTAGATCTTCATGCTTGCAATTCTACAAGCTTCCAGTTTTCTTACAGGTCATCGTGGTGAAATGGATCGTCATGATGGAATCGTCAGGCTTCAACATTTCTCATGATGCGCGTCACCCTGGTGAGATAGATCATCATGATTGCAACGTAAAGCCGGGTCATCGATAACCTCCGCTCAGCAGTGTCGATATCGATACTTTTAAGTCACCACCAATTACATGTCATTCGAACATCACACGAAAAATCGATCCGACACAGACACACAAAAAAAAAAGAGTACTGGTACCGCTCGCTTTATGTACCTGAAAGCGGTGGTCACGACCAAGTCGAAACCCGCCGCGCTCGCGGCCGCCACCACCTCCGCCTCCCACACATCTTCCAGCACCACCAGACACCGCAGCCCAAGCCCGGACATGTAGGGGGTGAACCACGTCGCCGCCGCGGTAGCGGTGGCTTCCGCCTTCAAGAGCGAGAGCCCAAACCAAACATGAGGAAAAAAGGGTCGTTTAACGTGCGTGCTTGAGAGTTACATACTTGTACACCTCATAAAAAAAACAAGCCCTATGCACGAGCACAATCGTGAACCACGCCGCCGCGGCAGTGGCGGTGGTTTCCACCTTCGATGCACAGCAAAGAGAAAAAATACGGTATCTACTGCTATCGTGCTTTGTTTTTATTCTGCCACCAAAGACAAGAGCCCCGACGAACACGCAGACACGATAAAACGAAACTTGCGTGCTACTTGAACGCCACCTTGATTCAAACGCACGACCCAACCGCCTCTCGGCACTACTGCCGTCTGTCGAGAACAACAATAATAATAAGCTACAGGGCACCAAAAACAAATCACCCTAAAACAAAAGGCAGCCAACCGTTGCTGCTACTGCTGCAAATACACACGGTACCGATACTATTCTTGGAGCCACGTGCGAAAGTCGCAACGGTCAACACAAGGCGGTTTCCAAACCTCCCTGCCCAAACCAATCACACGCCGAATACGACCCCCCTTGTGCAAGCTCGGTGTGCTCCTTCCCGGCTTTGTAGGGATGCGAGGTCAGTGGCCTAACGACTACGGCATGTATGGCTATGAGTACCCCCCCCCCCCCCCCCCTTGGCAAGGCGACGACGGCATCTATCTCACCGATGCTGCCGTGGCTGCCGCTGCGGTGGCCGCCGCAGCTTCCTCCGATCCCCCGTCTCCCGGGGTTTCCGCTGCTGCAGCGACGGCGGCGGCAGGTGGCAATACATATCGGGTGGGGTGTGAGCGGGTTTACTGCCGTACAAGCAGGTCTGCCAAGTTAGACCGGCCGGCAGGATGTATCGGATGTACTTCCATGCATGCTGTCTGGTTTTGACGAGCTGGAGGTTTTCATGTTCTGCTCCGTGAAGCGGTGCAAGTGCTACCGTTACGGCAGGGAAGCTCTTCGCGGAGAGCGCTACACGACGCGGATCGATTTTCGAGACAAACGCGGAACAATAACAACAACAACAGCACAACAACACCAACACGATTCGCTCTCACCCGCCGCCGCCGCAGCAGCAGCCTCCGCAGCAGCCTCCCCGTTGCGCGGGCCGCGGAACCGGCTGATGGGCGGGAGCGGGGGCGGGTTCCGGAGGCGCTTGCACAGCACGACTCGGTGGTACGCGTGTGCGAGGCGGTGGAGCAGACAGGCAAGGTCCGTGCCGCCGGAGCGCCCCACCTGCGGAATGTTCGGGGGGGGGGACGAGGGCGATGGTGCATCGAACAGGGGGGGCGGACCGGGGGGGGGAATACTCTTGTTTGTTTTTCTCGTGGATAATTCTGAAGGAAAAAGACCGGCCGTGTGGGACGGACGGGACGGCAAGGGGGAAGACACGTCCTCGATCGAGGGCTTCGCGGGCCGGGCGGGAAACTTGTAGCACGCCAGGCGAGTGTGCTACAGGCAACAGCAGTGAAGGTGCTTCAGTCAGCGAGTTAGCTGCGTGCCCAAGAACCGCACGTGACGAGAAGAAACGCACCGCCACCACCGCTATGCATGACGAGCGGGCTGAGGTGAAGAGCGCCAAAAACCGCCGGGGGCGACTTCGTTCTTCTCGAAGAATATCCTGCTGTACATAAATGCACCGCTGCTTTCGTCTCAGCCAACTGCGCCGCGATCCACCACAAACAACGACGGGTGCCAAAACCTTAGCGCGCCCCCTGCCGTCCCTTCCTCACCCCCTGTGTCTGCATCCGCAGGCGCGAGGAACGGCCTACTCTTGTCTCAGAGACCGCACGCAAATGGAGGACCCAAACCACCCCAAGGTCAACGGCCTCACGACTACGGCATGCACGGCTATGAGTATACCTCCCCTCTCCCCCCTCCCCTTAGCAAAAGCAACACACGAGAATAACGCCCCACACAGAACTCCCCCAACCACGGGGCAAACAGCAACACACGACAACAACCAGTTTGCCCCGGCCAAAAAACAAAACACCAACCTGCAGCCAAAGCACGCTGTCCCCGAACTTGGCGCGGACGTCCCTCCTCCCCACCACCTCCGCCGCCAGGCACGCCTTCCCGGCCCCAGAACTCCCGGCGAAGGTCACCACCGTCTCCCCCTTCCCGCCCGCGCCCCCGCCGTCCGCCCCCCTGAGGAGCGACGCCGCCGCCGCCGCCGACAGCCGGTCGCGGCACACGTGGTGCCGCGGCCGCAGCGGGGCACCCACGGGCGGCTCCGCCGCGAGCGGGAGCGGCTTGTGGTGGTCGTCCACGTTGTTCGACAACATCGTTGCTGCTGCTGCTGCTGCTGCCGACGACGACGCCGTCGCCGCTCCCGCTGAAGGTGTTGGCCCTTGTCCCGCCGCGGCGGCGGCGGCGGCGCCTGGTCCCTCGTGACTGGCCCTGTAGAAGTTGCTGCTTCCGTTGCTGCTGAGCGCTCCGCTACCCCTAGTAGAAAAGACGGAGGAGTTTTGTTTTTGAGTTTTTTTCGGTCGTGGAAGCAGACAGCAAAACAGAGGTCAGTGTGAGGAGAAGCGGCTGACGGCCGAAATTGTCTTGGATGAAGAGCGTCTTGAGTTCTCAGAGCCAAAGAAGGACGAGCGAAAGCCTTGCAATCCACGTCTCCCTCAAGCCATGCATCTCACAAGCTCCCCCTTTCCTCCCACGCGTGCAGGTGTATGTATCGAGCAGAGGGATGGGAAAAAGGGGTGCCTCTCGGTCCGGTGGCTGTACGCGGCCCACACGACGAATCAGCCGCCCCCAAGAGCTGTCGGGGGTCCAGCGAGCGCTGGGTGTGCGAGAGGCACGACGTCCGGCGGCAGCAACAGGTTCTGCATGGACATAATTAGCTTGCCGTTACGGGCGACGTTATCGAATTGTAGCGCTTAACCCTTCGGCCCCGGGAAGGCGGAGGGGGGGGGGCACCCCACACATCAAAACCCACCTGAACCCACAAACCAAATATTTTGATTGGTCGACCCGTCAGGGGGGGGTACTGCGCACATGAAACCTGCGTGAGACTGACCCAAAACTATTAACTACTGACCCAAAACTACAAACTACTAGGAGTAGCCTGATTGGTCAATCAGTCGGCGCCGTCCATCCCGCTTCGAGAAACGAACACCTTCCGCCAAGCACACAACCTATGTACATTTTTGTTCTGACGAACAACCCTCATTACGTAGCGCATGAGGAGGGTAAGATTGTCAGCCGACGGAACGAAGAGGAGGAACTGACTTACAGCAGCCGGGAAAGAGAGGGGAACCCCGGCGACGATGATGACGAGCCTTGACCGGCGAGGGGCCGCGCCTCATCCTTCACCAGGGCCTCTGCGAGGGAGGAGACGCGGAGAATCTCGGCCTTGAGGTCGGTTCCGGTGTTGCCCCCGGCCTGACAGCGAGAGCGGCAACAAGGCAAGCGTCGAGGAGAGGTGACACGCGGAAGGTGGTTCGATAGCAAGAATCATTTTTGCTACCGAACTACTTCTATGTTAAGGGAAAAGATGGTACATATTATAGCGGCATGAGACCACTGCTGTAGCTGCATCGCGAAAAGGGGGGAGAGAGGAGGAGCAGTTACAGTATGACCCTCTCCGTATCACAACCTGAGCAAAGCTCTCCAGAGTTGACACTATAAACGTTCGAGATTTCGATGGCAGACCAAAAGAAGCAAACGACACTGAATGCTGGGTCGTTCACCACCGCACTACGATGCACAACCATCCACAAAAAAAACGTCGACCCTTGTGTCCAACCACCTCACCATAAACAGGCGCGTAAACAGGCGCGCCGCTCTCCGCCCCCTCCCTGTCTACAATCTCCCCCCACCCAGCGTCGATTTTTGTTCCATCCCTCCCTCACCTCGACCACCCAGGCCAGGAAAGCCTCCTCGAGCCTCGCCACGCCGGTCCAGCTGAGCGTTAGCGCCTTCAGACCCCCGGCCTCCTCGACGCTCTCAACGAACTCGCTTCGAAACGCCTCGACGCCCTCGTCCTCCCGTTCCGCCTCTCCCCCGCCCCCTTCCTCCTCGTCCTCCCACACGGCTCGTGCCGCGGGGAAGAAGGACACGTCTCCCCCGTGCACGGGCGCCGCCACCCCGCCCCCCTCTGCCGCCGCCACCGCCACCGCCGCCGCCGCCGGCGGCGACGTCACGTCCCTGGAGACCTCGAGGCGGCCTACGATAAGCCTCACCCTCTCCGCGGTGGCCCGGAACTTGGCCGCCTTCTCCTTGCGCAGGCTTACCACCGCCACCGGGGTAGCCGCCGCCGCGCCCGCCGCCGCCGCCGCCGCTCCCTCCTTCTCCTCCTCCTCCGCTCCAACTCCCGGTTCACCACCCCCTGCGTCGCCGTCGTGCCTCCCCCCCCGACGGTGCCCGCCCTCCCCAGGCTTCCTCTTGCTCACGTCCCGCCGCGTGGCCAGCGCGAGGGACTCCAGGATCCCGCGGGGCGAGCACGCCTCCGCTAGCGCCGTGATGCCCACGACCTCCGCGCCGAGAAGCTCTGCCGCCGCCCGAAGGTTCCGGGAGACCGGCGGCTGAGAGGGCGCCGCTCCCGCCGCCGCCGCCGCCGCGGCTGCCACCAGCGACGCGGCACCGGTATCACTGCCGTTCCCGCTGCCGTGGATGTCGCCCACGACGCCGCTGCCGCCGCCATTGCTGCCGCCTCCGCCTCCGCCTCCGCCGCTTCCGCCGCCCATCAGCAGCGCCGCCGCCGCCGCTGCCGGTGCAGTCGTCGGTGCTGGCGGCGGTGGCGATTGGCAGGTTTCGATAAGCATCGCGACCTAGGGGAAGAGTAACGGACGGCGACGAGCGGGATGATATACAGGAAAAAGAAAGCAGGCACGCGCACACAGAAGGGGGAAAGCAAAACGAACAAAAATCTTTATAATTCGTCACTTGGTTGGTTGTTTGTTCGTTCGTCCTCGGGTGATTCAATTGTGAACTGAAGAGAACGGGTGCCGCTATCAACATTCCCATTGCTCCGTACGCGTGCATAGACAAAAAGGACGACAAGACGAAAAAAATGGCGGCACGGTGCCGCCGTGGAGCCCGGACACGTGGTGGCCGAAGAGTTTCTCGCTGGTCTGTTCCTTAAATGAGGACATGCTCTCTCTCTCTCTCTCGGAGGAGGAGGAGGTATTGAGTAGCATCAGCAGCACCAAGACATGGTTGTACCATGTACCATATTCGTCCGACAAAAGGGTTCACGTTTCACGTTTCCTTGCTCTGTCTCTCTGTCTGTCTCTCCCTCTCCGTATCTGTCTGTCTTGTCTCTTCTTACTCTCTCCCTCTCTCCGTATCTGCCTGTCTGTCTGTCTCTCTTCTCTCTCCCTCTCTCTCTCTCTCTCCCTCCCTCCCGCTCTCACCGCACTGTCGCAGATCTCAGAGAGGGCGTCCAGCTGCCTGCGACAGGCCCTAGCCGCCCTCACGGCGGCCAGGAGGCCCTGCAGGGCGGCCACCGCCGGCGCCGCCACCGCCGCGCCGCCGCCCCCCGCCGCCGCGGCGGCCACGGCCGCCGCCTGGCCGTGCGACACCGAGGCGCTGGAGATGGCAGAGTTGCTGCGGCTGACTTGCTTCTTCATGTTGCTGGTGGTGGCGGCGGTGGTGGCGGTGGAGAAGGTGGAGCTGGTGATGATGCTGCTCGTGGTGGTGTTGTTACTCTTCAAGTTGTTGGCGGCTGCCGGCGGCGTTGCATCATCCCCCGCCCCCGCCCCCGCCCCCGCCGGCTGGATCCGGGGCAAAAACACGCAAGAGAGTGAGTAGCGAGCGATTAAGGCACAGCCGTGACCAGCGGGTATGACGTGGTTTTGGTGCTGCGGTAGTGGTTGCTGTTCTTTGTGTTGGTCGGCAAAGGCCGAACAGGAGACACCAATTGACCTACAAGACGTGCAGTCCTATGCATATGCTAGTGCGGCCTCTTAAAAGAAAAAGAAAAAAAAACTGGCTCAAAAGGTTAACTACGCCTGTGAGAGGCAGCGCTTGCTGGAAGGACGCGCGCGCACGGGCGGCTGGCTCTCTGGTACACCCCGCCAAAGTCCGCGTGGACGTCACAACCGCCGCCAAAATCCGTGTACAAGTAAACGTGTAAATGTCCCCTCGCGGGGGGTGACAAAAAGTTCGTGCCCACGTTTGTTTAAAGCGCGCGGAGCAGGAAGAGAATAAAAAAGTGGTGGACTCTCTGTCCCGCTGCAAACGATGCGGCGAGTGCAGATAGTGTAACAGCAGAGTATTCAGCGCCCGCGCTCTATATAAACCTCTAGTTTTTGGGCAAGGAGGCTGGTGTTCTAATACTTGTACGCCGTAAGGTTGCGAGTCAGCGCACAGGGGTGCGATCGATTTTCAAAGCGTAATTTCTCCACAACCAGCAGGGTGCGAGCGCCAACCGATACTTGTCAGGAAAACTCTCGATGAGACATTTCCAAAACCGCCCCTCTCGACAGCAGTGGTAACCTCCTGGTTATGTAGAAATTTACGCGTTGAAAATCGTTCGCACACCTGTGCGCTGACTCGCAACCTCACGGGTATGTATACTAATACATAGTTCCTCTGACGTCTATGCTAGTTGACATGGCCGCTAAGTAAATCCGTCAGAGTGCACTTTTAGGGTTGGGTTCTTCCGATTGTTGTGAGCATCATTTTGAGAAGTACATTATTTAGCGGGCGCCAACTACTGCTGTATCCAAGGATCACACACACACCAGAATGGATGCGCCACATGGAACACGTGGGTTTTCGAGGAGGCGCCCAACGGCGCGCTGGTATATGCAAACACCTACACCTATTCCGCCGCAGCTATGTACAATACACAACGACAAGAAGGGACATTGATGAACGCAGCAGTCATGATCGCGGCGGTAGCAGCAGCAGCACCAACACCAACACCAACACCAACTGCCACCACCACCTGCTGCGCCTGAAACATCATCATCCAACAGCCCATGCATCCAACCATTGTTGTGATCAAGGATATGGCTGGGGGATCAAAACACACACACACGCAAACGGCGGCCCACGACGGGGAAACATTGGTCCGGTCGTGTCGGAAAAAGGCGTTGAAATGAAAAAAAATCGAACCTTCTAACGCGTTCTCGACCAGTTCGCGGCCGCTACAAGGCCGTGCTTTGGCCGTGGGTGAGGGTGAGGGTGAGGGTTAGGGTAGATGTGGGGCGAGGAATCTAGCCTTGCTCGCGTGAGGAACCTAGCCTTGCAAAGTGCAACATCGGTTAGACCTAAAGAGTCACGAACAGAATGTAAACAGACCTTCTAACCGTTCTGTTCCTCCACTCGCTGGAAAGACTCCACCACATCCCGTTCGACTGCTGTGGGTATATCTCGAATGGGACAAGTAGTATTTCTGTGTGTGTATTTACTTACTTTCCTTAATCAAAAACACCAGGTTGTACAACACACACAACCTTCCACATCTTTTGCGTACTGCTGTATGTACAATACCTCTCTTGTATTTTTTTTTCAGGCGCTCGCTCTCTTCGTTCACCTCCCTCCCCTCCCTTGTTGTTATCTTCTACCAAGGGTACAATACAAATGCAGCCCACAACACAACCATCGATAGAAGTCGACCAGTCAGAACGGCTGCTGGCTTTGCCATCACAGATATGCAGCAGCGTGGTGGTGGTGTGTGTGTGTGTGGTAGCCAGACACACGGGTAAAAACCGATCGTTCGTTCATCCTCTTAGCGCGGTCCGCGACACGGTCCGTCTCTCTTCAAACGGTGTGTGCGACACACACAGACACGGACCGATGATAGCGCTGCTTGGAAGTTCCATCATGTGGCGTCATGTAGATCGCTGCCGGCTATTTACATTTCGAGCGACCGTTTGCGTGTCTGAAGCGAATCGCTGTTTTGTACGGCACAGCCGCGCATCGCAGAGAAAACTGCGAAAAGCTTGCTATATTCTAAACTAGTTAGGGCAAGGTTGGTAAGGGAGGGGGGGATAGCGCGGCAGATTGAAATTGCAGCTACTCCGTCTTTGCTTGCTGACACTTGTAGGAAGTCTTGCCTCTTTAGGACCCCCTTTCCCGCAATGCTGAGAGACTGAGAAACCAAGAGATCTTGCAAACGGCGGATTCTATGCATGCACACCGAACGCTCCACTCACGACACACGCAGCCACCACGCCGTGTGACCGATCGCCCGTGCGGCCGTCGCGTGTGGCATCAAACAGCGACCGAACATCTCCATCATTATCCCCTCACGGGACACGTAAATCGTGTATTGGCGGCGGCGTGGGGAAGCTTACTATGTATCTCTCCAACACCTTCCAACCACAGGTAGCTTGTTGAGTGAGCGGCGCGAGAGGCATATATATATTCGTTCGCATGTACTGCTGCTGTGTACGCTGAAATAGCACATCATCACCAAAGAAGAGCGAAAAAGAGCGAGGAGCAACGCAGAGACTTGACGCGCTGCTGACACCTAAACAAGAAGCAGATCCCGTGCCACACTGCTGTTTTTCCCTCTCGCCAGCCTCTTGGCGTGGGTCTGCTGTGTGTTCTGTCTGTTGTGTCGTCATCCCTCCCCTCTCTCAACCCTCGCAGGCCGAGAACCAGAGGGCTTCATGAAAAATCAATTATTTAAAAAAATACACCCGCAATCACAACAACACCCACCTGCATTGGCTGCTTGTCGCTGCCGCTGCTGCTCTGTTCTCCGTCGTCCTGCGCCACCGCATCCCACCCCTCGCCGTCGCTGGCCCCCGGCGGCCCTGCCTCCCCTCGCCCTAGGCCCCTTCTTCGATCCAAGCTGTGGCAAGCCGTGGGAGATGTGGCTGGCTTTTGAACCCTGCCGGTCTGCTGCTGGCGATGGCTGCTGCTAATACTGCTGACAGAGGGCTTATTGTTGTCTTCGCGCCCGACACCGACACCGCCGCGGCCATCGCGCCCGAAGTCCCCCTCTACCTGCACAGCACCGCCGCCCAGCCCACCGCTGCGGCCGCCGCCGCCGCCGCCGCTGCCTAATCTGTTGGACTGCTGGCAGCTCTGGGCACAGCCCATGATTTCAAAAATGGAATATTGCTGTTGTTGTGGCTCACTCGGCGCCTACCTGCTCTCCGTGTCGGCGAGTTAGTACATTTTTTTTTTTTCATCGTGTGATCGACAGTTTCATCTTTTTTTTCAGGAGACATCACGTTTTCGAGAAAACCCCGAAAAGAATGCTTGCATGCATGCGCGGACGGAACAGCGGAAGCCGTCGGGGATTTCGCGTGATAATGTTTGTGGCGGGGTAGTGTTCGCTGCTGTTGCAACGGCCAAGCCGACAAATTTCTTGCCACATGCAGGCAACGCACGCGGGTCGACAAGGAGACAAGCGTAGGCGACGGTGAGAGAGAGAGGGGGGGCAGAAAAACATAATCACCGCGTCATTTTTTCGTGTCATGATGCCACGACGGCGGCGGCGGCGAGCGACGACGGGCGTAGCTCCGCCGCAGCAGGGCACCGCGCCGCCGGAGGCTCGATCTCGCGAGCATGCATCGCCGCGGGAATGTCGCGCGGCTGCTTTCACGGGGGGTCGCTTTGCTTCACTCATGGCCGTGCTGATTTCGACTACATGTCGACTCGGCCTTGTTCGTGCATACGCAGTTTACGAGGATGGCACCATCGAGCAGTCGCTACCAGGTACATGTACATGCTTCAGGAACAATATGTTTTTCCACCATAGATACCATGCAGGTTCCACTATTTTCCGCTCACTTTGCACGCCGCACTTTTGCATTCGGAATCCGAGTCGAAGGTTGTGGTGACGACTGGTTTTGTTTGTGGATGGTTGCTCGCGGATATTGATCTTGTACGCCACGAGCTGAGTCTCATCATCTACGTACACGTATCTGCTGTTGTAGAATATAGTAAACGTAAATCGACCAGTAGGTCTCAAAAGATACCCCGATCTTCATGGAAGGTCATGTTGCGTGCGTCGTGTGCTGGAAAGTGACCTCTGATTTGTGTTACGATACACACACACGATGTGGGTTCAGGACGCGTCCGTCTCTCCGTGTGCGTATCGTCCCGTCTATTCTCCGGTCTTGAATTCCCCGCCTTTCGGTATGTATGTTAATCATAATAATAACGCTCTGCATGCCGTTGTATTGTACTGCTGTAAGCCTTTTCGCGGAGAAGGGCCGGCCGTTCCTTTACCTCGTATCGTGAAGTCGCACTTGTACACTCGAATCACGTCAGTCAGAGGGCTGCAACTGACACGCACATTCGGGAGCCGAGAGTAATTGCGTAGAGACGGAACCACCAACGAACAGCGTTCAACGACCAGCGTACAATAATATATTCATGCAACAAGAGCGCTTGTTGCGTAATCTCTTCATGTGTTGGCCGGACTCTCGCACGAGAGGAGGGCTACTACTGAACAGCAAGAGATGGTGCGAATGCCCGGCATTGAGAGCTTCCTCTAGGGCGGCACTGGACCAAACGCGGAAGCCATGCCGACCGCAGTGCGAGCCCAAACGCACCACATCAACGGGGGTGGCAACAAAAGTTACAAGGGAATACGATATTAGTACCAGCGGCCGGACAAAGACTGTATAGTCGACGCGCATATACGCGGCGGGACTATTCATGCATGTCCGACTCGTCGACATGAACGGCCTGCTGGAACACACCCCTCAGCACTGACATGTCGGCGGCCTTCCAGTAAGTCGAGGGAAAGCAAGAGGTCATCGTTCGGAAGCAGGTGGACGAGACGGCGAGATGTGGCGAGACACATGGGAGGATCGTCATCCAGCATCGCGCTGGAGGTTCGCTGGCCATTTGCCCAACACCACATGTCCAAGACCTCCACCACCCTTCGAAATGAAGGCACAGCAACCCCCGTAGGATTCACCGCAGACACCGGAACCCGTACAAAAAAAGGGAAGTTGTTACCACTGGGAGCCGAGCCAACATGGACGCTACATGCAGTTCGGGCGGTGGCAAACTGGAAAAGATCCGGGCACTGCGGACTCCCTAGCAGAGCCACTCGAACCGGAAGACCCCACTTGCGGGCCAATTGTCCTCGACAACGCACCGCGCCATTCCCGTTCGAGCCTAACCGGGAAGAACAAGCACACAAAATCAAACTGCCCGAGGAGAAGCCGGGCAGAGGTACAACCGCAGCCCCTTCCGATGGACCAGCCTATTTCGTTCGTTTTCCGAAGGCTGGAAAAGGAGTGCCGACGATCCGAGCGGTCGACGAGATACGCATACGCCGCTTTCACAGTTCGATAGCGCATATCAGCCGGCACCTACGGCAGACTCTTCAAGAAGGCTAAAATCCACACTCACACAACAAGCCAGCTGAAATCTCCATAAACTCAGACTCGTACTCCGTTTTATTGTGTTCTCCGTCCCCGTTCTGCTGTTGTTTTTTACGTGTTTTAGGGCGAAAAACACTACACCTGGTCTCTTCATCGAGTCTTAGCTATGCCGATTTTCCCTTTCTGCGGTTTCCGATGTGCTCCCGAACGTATACGTAGGCTCGGCCTCCGACAGCAGGGGTTTGCCCAACAGCCCTTTCTCGGTGGACAGCAACCGTCTCAGCGACGGGTTTTCCAGCGTCTCGCCGCTTTCGACCACTAGCCCTTCGTTCCCCCTCTACCGGAACGGCACCGACGACAGCGGAAACGAGCCGTGAGCAGCATTTTGATGAGCGTAGATCTTTACGACGAGAGACAGGAAATCAGTCCGTCAGAAAAACAGACAGCCGGACCGCCCCCCCCAACGCACCTCAAAACCTGGGTCACTCCGAACGGTACGGAGCATCCGCCACAACAGCTCTGAATCTCGTGCGAAACTTCTCCGCGGGGAGTTGGTTAGGTTGTGTGTTCGAAATTATAACACCCCCACCCCGCCCGGCACGACCCCCTAGTACACCAGTCAACAGTACTATGTCACAACAATGCAGAACACAATTGAGTCGTTTTGTCGTGCTCGAGGAGGTACCGCGCGGACAAAGCTTGCGCTCAACAGCAAAATATTCTGACATGTTTCACGGTTTCTTTCGGGGGGGCGTTGATTACCGTTGTACGCGGCACTCTACGCAGCTCGCGGTACTGGGCGAACTTGACGATGGCGTCAAGACTGGAGCAGGGGGTTGCCACCCGTGGGGCGGGCAGTTTCGAGACGGCGGTTGCGCGGTAAGTTCTACCCGGAGAAATTGCGGCCGAAATGAAATTTCTAGACGTGCACGTGTTTGGTGACACGCATACACGTGGACAATAGTTATTTGATATTTCGATAGCCCCGCGCTGGCTACCATGGAACAGGGCAATCTCTGATTGGTGCCGAGGTTGTATTTGGTTTGCGCCAACAACAGCACGGCACGAAAAAGCAATGCTAGCACGGCTACCACTTTCGCCACAACCAGGATCACCACCAGGAACATCATGAACAACAACAACAACAACAAAAACAACGAAAAACAACAAAAGGTACCAACGGATAGGTTTTGCCTCGTCTACCTCTCTCGCTCTGCCTGACTGCTGTGCTTGCCTCCAGGTATAACGTTTTGCAGGAGAGCTACAGCTCAGAAAAGCCTTCGGTCACGTTTCCCGTGCACGCGTGGAGGCGTTGGAATCCCTCCGCGTTTGCAATTCAGCAAGGTTGTCGTTGTGGTTGTTGTCGCCAATGCCATCGTTGTTGCTATTACCTCTGTTGTCATCGTTGTTGTCGTTGTGGGGTGTTTGTTGTTGTTGTTGTTGCTGTTGTTGTCTCCGATCTCTTCAAGAATTTCTGACCTCTGCGCCCAACGGTCCCTTCATTTCCGTGCAAACCAGACCAGCACGAAGCGTTTTTGCCACGTAGATACCAGGCTTCAGCCAAGACGGTACACACAAAATACAAGCGTGAAAAACCACAAGAAACACACACACACACACACACACACAGAGAGAGAGAGAGAGAGAGAGAGAGAGAGATGCGCAAAACGGGAATCTTGGCCTGGGGCGTTCCCCCCCCCGTCATTTTTCTTACACATACCGAGTTGAGAGGCTCCAAGTGGTCTTCTGCGTTTTCCAGCTTTGTCGGCGTCGGTCGTAGGTGATGCGCACATCCAACCTTGTCCGGCAGGGGATGTAAAGATTGCTCGCCCAACGGCAAGGGTACATACGACAAAAACAACGAAAGTAGGAACGAGCGGTCGACGTCCGAGGGATTGTCGTGGTCGCCGGCGGCGGCCGGCCGCGACGGCTACAGCGTTGTTGGCCTTTTCTTTTCTGTTCTGGTGGCATGAGTCCACTTCACAGTTCGCTTCAATTTCAAGCGATGAGCGTCTGTCGAAATTCTCTCGCATGGCAGTTGAACCGTTTCGGGTGTTTCGCTCAACTCGGCAGGAGACAAAAGCCAAAGCAAGCCAGGTCTGAACGTATGTGTTCGCAGGTGAGACGTACGCGGTGGAAGTGCCGGGGGAGCAGTACTGGGAGGACGGCCGGATACGTGCCGACGCCGCTGGGTATGCCACCTACTACGACGCCGTCGACGCTTGCTGGGTGAGTGCCCGTTTTTGTTGTCTGATGCATGTCGCAGGCGTGGCGGAAGACCTTAGAATTACTGTTGGGCGTTGCCATGGTTCGCAGTTCTACGAAAGAGGGTTTGTGTCGTCGTAGTCGAGGCAAACGACAACTTCAGCCTCTCCCTGAAGGTTTATTGTTTTTTAGAAGAGCACGACGAATTCATCTCTTCCACAGATAAAGGAGCCCGGGCTAGGTTAACAATGAACTCATAGTGTTGCATGATGGCCAAAACTTGTATTTCGATGTTGGCTCAACGCTGATAACTGTATGTCGAGGTTGCTGGCAGGTCGTGCGAAAGGCGGTTTAAGCCAATGCGTAAGAGACCGAAGATATTGTGGTGAAGTTGTTGTAGCCCCGCTTCAGCTTTCTTTGGCTGCTTGCCGGTGGCACCAGAGCCTAGCCCAGTTTTAGAGGCCTGAGGAGGTGGCAAGTCGGGGGGATAATAACGCAAAGGATCTACGAAGATGTGAAACGTTTCAAAGGGAACAGTTTGGTAAAGTGGACAACACGAAGGGCGTTTCGGTCATGCAACGACTGAACACGTCACCACGAAGCAAGAGAGAGGACAACTAAGAATGACAAAAGAAGCAAGAGAGGACAATCAGGACGAGTAAAGCGAAAGAAAGCACTCACGGGGAAAGTAAGCGTCAAAATCGACATGAACTTGAAGTGCTATGGCTGATAATACAGCCACAGAGCATGCCACGTCAACGTTCTCTTTTGGCGCTCATATTCCTGTAGGTGCTGTTTTTCGCTTTTTTTTCTCGTTCCTGGCGGTCCTTGGTTGACTCCATTGTCGTTCTCAGCGGTCCTCTCTTGTCGTTTGGATGTCCAATGTTGTCAGTCCTGGTACCGTGTTCGGTCGTTGCATGACCAAACCCTCTCACGTTCTCCACTTTGTGAAACGGTCTCATCTGAAAGCTGCCACGTCGTCGTAGACCCCTTCGGGTTAGTCTCTCCGATTTTCCACCTCCTCAGACCCCAAAACTGGGCTAGGCTCCGGTACCCCCGGCACGCAATCACTCAAAGCCCTGGTGAGGCTAGAACAACTTCACCATAGCATCTCCGGTCGCTTTCGCATCGGCTTAAACCGGCTTTCGCACGACTCTTGGGCTGCGAGCAACCTCGACACAAGTTTCGACAAACGCGTGCTAGACACGATGGTGCCATCGATTCTTGCTGCGATTGGTAGATCACCAGCATTGCCAGTCCCACTGCCGTTATGGTTTTTTGAATTCATGTCTCGACCTCTGCTGCTTGCAGCGCTGTCGACTCTTGGTGGCCGAGTGGTCATCACGTGTTTATTTGTTTGGCCGACCACAGCAACATTTACTTTTTGCCATTCGAAAACATGACTTTTTCCCCGTTAGACCGACGAGCTTGCTGCTGCAAAGATTTCCCCACCGTCGCTTCTCCAGCCCGGTCCCAAGAAAGCGTGTGGGTGCCGCCGTTTGCCGTAGCTGTTTCTACAAACGGTGCTCGTACGAAAGTGGTAGCACGCGCGTTGCCTGACGTCGTCGCCGTCCCTTTTGCGGGTCCTCTTGCCACGGGTGGGCTGTTGATGTCCGGTCACTTTGCGGGTACAGATGCCTTCCGGAGTTGCGGAGGAGGGCTGGTTATTGTTTCTTCCGACATCGACAGGGTCTTGCCGTTCTTCTTTTTGTGGGTGTCCGCTTTCGTACCTAGACTGCTTGCTCTTCTTGGCCTTTCCGGGCTTCCAGATTTTTTCCTTTGGCTCCCGTTCGGGCCATATCTTCGCAACATGCATGGGTGACAAAAGAGCAACAAGAGCATAATCAGCAACACCACCACCAACAACAACAACAACAACAACAACAACAACAACAACAGGTGGCCAACGGGCGATGCCGATCGTACCTACATGGCTCCCAACCCCGGGTCCCCGCCCACCGCGCGCGCTGGATGGAGCTGGTGTGCGGCATCGGAGATTTCGTGAGGGCATTGAGAGAGGCGATGCCGGGAGAGGAGCGCTACCTTCCGGTAAGAGAGCCGGTGGCGTTTCAATGATCTTTGAAGGCCGCTTCGCAAACCCGATATGCAGGGCTGTGGACTATGCTCGAGAGAGCTGGTTTTGGCGTGAATTTTCCAAGTACAAACGGTGATAATCGTGGTCGCCCATGACTCAAGTCTTGTGTGCATTCTGCGTGTTGTCTTTGCGTGTGAGAGCACATGTTTGCTGCCGAGAAGTGATCGGGTTTCCACCGGAAACGGGGGAAACAGTTCGAAAAGCGAGAAAATACCATAACTTGGTGGCTCTTCCCCCTCCCCCCCCCGCCTCCCATCCGCGACACACCTTCCCTCGAACTCTGTCCCCGGTCGCGTATGTTACCACATGCAAGATGTCAGGGTATTGTTTCCCAGAGTTCCGTGGGAAGAATGACAGAGAGGGTTTCGCACAACATCCGTGTTCGCCCGCTTCGCCCCCCCCCCTCCGCCTTTCTCTATCGCGCTGTTGCCTGCTGCCGACCAGCCACAACGTGTATCAAATGGAAACCTTTTCCAACCCCAACCCCCTTCCGCATTTGCCTGCTTGCCGGCCTGCCTGCCTGCCTGCCTGCCTGCCTGCCTGCCTGCCGCAGATTGACGGGGAGTCGCTCCAGGCCTCCCTGATGCCGGTGGGTCGAAACCTGACATTCGTGGCCGCGGCAACGGGGGAGCTGGTCTGCTTCGCCAACGACGCCGAGGGCCTGTACGGCAACAACCGCGCGTCTCTGAACGTGACGGTGACGCGCGAGTCGTGGCCGCCGGACGGGACGTACGTGGAAGAGAACTACGACGCGCACCTCGACGACGATCCTCCGGTCGTCTATCCCTAGATCGAAAGGGTGTACCCCTCATTGGGTAGTTCACGGAAGGCGTCCCCGTGTCAGTTGGACCAGAAAGGATATTCCAGCAATTACTGGGTGGAGACTGGAATGTCTTTTGTATGAGAAGACAACAACAACAACAACAACAACAACAACAACAACAACAACAACAACAACAACCCACGAACGTCAAGACTGATCTTCTGTGATCCAACGGTTTCGTGGCGCGCGCGTTCGGGGACATTGTAGAACTGGCATTCTTTTAGATGTGGTGGCATCTGTCCTCGAGACACCGGGTGACGGTAGTGGTTGTCGTTGGTTCTTGATTTGCCGTTCCGAAACGAACGCCAGGCCGAGAATGAACTGAGCGGTGCGGGACATCTCGGGCAACGGTCGTTCACTTTGCCTTGCGGCAAGAGGCCTTCGTGAAAATCCAACAACACCTGACAGCTGTCAGCGATCATACGTCTCTACCATTTTGTGCCACTGAAAAGCTGTGTCGAAGCACGGCCGTGGCGTGCAACACGCGCAACACAACGTTTCGGTGACGAGTCTTCACGAACAGTCTGACGGGTGTAGCGAGAAACAGTACTGCGATTCTTGAGCATTTGCGGCCATCGCTCGCAAGGGGAGCACACAGGATACCCCCTCCCCCCATGGAACAAGCTTCGACGAGGTTGTCCAGACCCGACCCAAAACCACAAAACCGTAATCAGACCCCCCCGCACAGCACAAACGGGTGAGGTATCACCTCAACCCTCAATTCCGCCGGAAAATAACCCAAACCCGTACGGTACTTTGCGGCGGTAGGTGTTCTCGCTCAATACGGTAAACGTTATTCTCCAGAGATGTAGCCCGAACGTTCCGCATGTCTTGCCCAACGCGAAAAAAGAGCACCATCAGTTAAACACGCGTAGTCTAGAATCATCAAAAAGTACGCACAGGCAATGTTCGTAGCAACCTAATACATGTCCACAACAAATAAAACCACACACGCTCTCTTGCGCGTGTTTTGCGACACCCAGTTGCCAATAGCTTCTGTCTCTGCTTGCAGTCTGCAAAGTGACCCTACTCCTGGAAGAAAACAATATCTATCCATGTACAAGCCCAACGGCCGTCGCCTACGAAAGGCACAAGAAGCACGTACTCGCACAAACACTCACCACAAAAGTAGCAACTACCCAACAAACTAACCCTCTCTTTGGTTTCATTTTTGTGAATACACTCATCTACCTACTATGCCGCCAACGTGTGGGCAACACGCGTGAAACCATCACCGCCGCAGCCACCCATCTCGTAACCCTCCCTCCCTCGCTTCTCACCACACACAAAAACAGCACCAAGTAAATGCGGCGAGTAAATTCGTCTTTACAACAACAACCAACACACGGCATTCATTCATGCCTCGGCACAAAAAAAGTCGTAAAGCCTAGTAATTGATGATACTTCAGACACAAAAAAAAGAAGAGTAATTCACAGCACAGGATTCGACCCGCCTGTCTCGCTTTCGCGTGGTTTATGATACACCGGGGGGGTTCACACGAAAACGGAAGAACACAACGAACGATACAGCGCACGTCTCGACCGTTTTGACCGCCCCTCCTCGTTGTGTGCGTCCTTCGTGAGGTTGGAGATCTTCTCGGCCCCTGGCTATCACAGCCAAGGGCGACGCGTCTCGTGCTCGAGATACTACACGCTGCTGGTAGGGTCCATGAAGCGCGGTAGTACCATCGCTGTCGCTAGTGTTGCGTACTGCAGATTAGATTCCGCTCCCCCTTGTTTCGCCCGTCCTCTCACGATCAGGCGTCATTAGGGGGGGCGTTTTGGAGGACAACTTGAGAGTTCCGCCACGAATGCATGGTAGAAGGCTCCGTGTAGCTTCCCGCTTGATAGCGACTTCAATCGACCACGGTACCATCCACCAACAACGTCGGCCCGCCCTGTCAGGCGGAGGAAGGCCAAGACAGGGGGGCGGCGGTGACGTGGTGTCGTAAGGCCGGTCTACGCCAAGGAACAAAGCTACTCCAACAAACACACAGCTGACGACGTAAACTAAACCAACAAGCAAAGCTGTAGCAACGCGCCAAACAACGCCAGAACTACTCACCGACAGCAGCAGCATCACCACAAGATTATCATTGTCGCAGCTGCACCAATACACACCTTGTCGTGTTCATCGCTGTCGTCGCGGGATACGGATGCTGCACGTTTGTCGTTCGGAGAGCTCGAGATCAGGCTATCCGGCAGTATCGACAGCATTACCGGGACGAACACGACACCATGGTAAAACTGAAACAAGAAGACGACAGGAACAACGCAAAAGGCATTGGGAGAAAAGAAAAGCAAGGAGGCGCGAGGAGAACCGAGGTAGGAACATATTTGGCCGGCGGAAGTCAAGCACCGATATCGGACACAGTTCGCAGTGGTCAAAGAGTCCTTTCCTGTGGACCGGTCTCGCGGCTTATTGCAATTGCAAACTACGCGTGAGCAGCGCTGCAAACTACGCCTGGGCAGCGCTACAAACTACGCCAGGGCAGCGCCGTACGGCAGAAAAGACGATTACCATGCACACTCGCGTCCGTGCTCCCAAACCCTAGCCCTCCTGAATCGTAACCGACGAACCCGGCTTCTATGTCACCAGCCGATCGGCGGCGTTCTGCCGACGGAACCACAAGGAGGCGCGTGTGGAGGAAGCAACACGCACAGAGGCGCCGCCCCCCTCCACCCCCAAAAAAACGGACCCCACACTCACTCACTCACCCCGAACGAGATGATGACGAGGAACATCTTGAAGAACACGCGGAAGATGACGTTGTGCGCGAACACGAGCGGCATTATCCCCAAGAACGTTGTCCCCGCGCCCATCAGCAGCGAGGGCCCGATCTCCCCCAGAGCGTCGGCGATTCTCGTGTCCTTGGGTGTCCTGGGGTCCTGCTCATTGCGGGAAAAAAGTCACGTGTGAACAACAAAAGAAGGCGCCGGGGGGTGCTCCACATAGTCAACCCTCTTGCCTACACACAACGTTGGGGAGGATACTGGCAGCAGCAACGAGAGTTGGTGTGAACGCAGGTTCGAGTGTGAAGTACCAGCCAAGTGCCCATGATTGGTCACCGACTAGTGAGGGAAGGGAGGGCATTCGCGATCATGATGATTCACGTCTGTACCAGTCCGGGTAAGGTTAACACTGGCGTCTGGAAGTTGAAGGGGGGTCAAACTTGTGATCGTATTTCGTCGTGGACTCTGGCGGAGGCAGTGACGTTTGTACACAACATGGCCGCCGCCGACCTCACGGAAGTGATTGTAGTCGGAGAGGAACCCTAACCCAACAAAGCGAACCGAGGCCTTCTATATGCCGGCATATGCAGCAGACGCGCGTCGCTCTTTCTGCTGCTCTCGCCTGATGAAGGAAGTAGTGCACGAGGTGAACCATGTAGTCCACCACCAGCCCGACCGCCATGATCAATTCTGCGGGGGGCGAAATTTGCGGACACGAACATGTCGGCAAGGGGGCGGGCACGACGAGAGACAATAGAATGAACGATTTATCTGATGCATAAATCTTTCTGGTGTTCGGAGAACACACCAGACCTGTCTCTCTCGGACTCTCCGGAGAACCCAACAACAAGCACCGTTCTCCGGAACTCTTACCCGAAGTACCTTCCATGAATATATGTTGTGGTCAAAGCGATGTAACATTGTGGTACACACTATTCTTGGCGTGCGGTGTCGATTGTTTCTCACAGCAGCAAAAAAGCAGCATCATCAACCACAACAGCGACGACGACGACAACAACAACAACAGCACGTGGGCAGGCCGCGCAAACCACTCACGTATGACGGTGATGCTATTCACGTCGAGGCCGTAGAGGTAGACGAAGCCCAGCAGCTCCGCGTCAACGATAACCTGGTACAAAGAGATGAGACAAACGCCAGACACGAGAGCGGGAGGTAATCAAACCAAAATCACACACATCAGGCTTGATTCGGCTTCGGCATCCCACAGCAAAGCGACACGATTGCAGCAACAACACCACCAGCATCGGCCACCGGGCATCATTCCTTGTTTTCCTCTGACCCCGTCGTATGTGGTGTGATGGGGGGGCCCAAACTACCTCTGAGCTCTCTGGACTGTAGGTCGCGTTGTTCTTCTTGTAGTGCTCTTTCCTCTTGGAATGATGATAACTCCGAAGACCAACCCCCCTCACTCCGAAGCTCGAGACGATGAATGCCCCCCATAGCCTGAACCCCTGTTCTCCGTTCCTACACAAAACAAATTCTTGACGACAGGAGGTTGTTCGCTATCCCATCCCCCTGTCCCACTTTCTCCAGCGCTCACCAACGTGACACACACGAGGACCACCACGGCAACCTTGCCCAGGACGAGGAGGCTCAGCGCGAACACCGCCGCCAAGGCGAGGCCGAAGCTTGACATGAGCTCGCCGTAGATCACAACAAATTGCTCCGAAGATACGAACACCTGCCGTCATCGTCGTCGTCGTTGGTGTTGGTTTGCTGTGTCGTGTGTCGCGTGTTGTGCGTTGTGTGTTGCGTGCTGTGTGCTACGTCTGGGTTTTTGATGTTGTTGTAGCAAGGCAGACGGATTGGGACGCTCGCCCTGCTCTCGAAGAGTGTCAAAGGGTTTCGACGTCAGACCTGCCCGCACTATCGTGCCCACGTAAGGATGTAAGCATATTCCATCTTCTTTTTCCGGTCGCTTCATGGAACAGAAAGCAAAATCAGCAAGTAGGTCATGTATCCTCACGCAGAAACGCAGATACAGATGCGGCCCGCGGGAACACCGCACACGACACAAGGGAACACGCTTGCAAGCTATTCGATTTACCTCAGAGTACGCGAACGGCGCGGGGTCGAGCGCCGATTGGTCAACGACTTCTCGTGTTCCTCTGAGGGCGTCCACGTTCTTCTCTGTGTCGGTGAGGCCGACCAGGAACATGTCCGACCGGCTTATCTGCCCAGGAGGGGGACGACGATGACAGAAAAGACGTGACTCGAGGGCACGGAACAGGGATATCCACAACGTCAGGTACAGCTCCGCGCGGCGGGTCCAAGTGAGGCCCCGGAGAGGCATCATGCACGCATGGACGCTTTTGATGACAACACAGCGTACATCGGCAGCGGCAATGCTTCAAGCAAGGAGAATATGTCGATTCACAACCAAGCCCTATCGTACTTCCGCGCAGGCCCTCTCACTAACACCAAGTTGTTGCGCCACTTGCGTGGCCACGTCTATCTTCGTGTACCTTGATTGTTCCATCGTCGTTAAAGACCACGTCCCCTAGGAACCTCGCGTTAGCCCCGTCCTCGGTGAACGCGGACAGGGCGGTGTAGAAGGTGGCCCGATCCTCGTACACTACGTAGCCCCCAGACGTACCCACGTTAGCGCTGTCGGCAACAACGTGCGTTGGCGGCGTGAGGTTACAAAAGCGGCAGCGGTGGAGACGGCAGATGGCGATGTCGAGGGCAACGTAATATCGTCAACGCTGACATCGTGTGTTTGACGAGGGATTTACAGACTGCGGTGGGGGCACAGCGGGGGCGATGGGGAGGGGGGGGGGGGGAGCAGGCGGCCGAGTAGGGTCGGGGTAAAGAAGTTGCTCATTCTTTTTTGTCCGAGAAGGAGTTTCAGGACGCGATTCGTGGGGCTGGTGGAGATGATGTTTCTGGGGACTAGCCGCCTATTGACGTTGAAGAAGGTATAGGAAACTACTCTCGAAGGTGATCCGAGTGTACATTTGGAATCGTCCGGCGTCTGTAGTTCTGTCTCTCATACTACAGGCGTCCTGCAGGCACTCCTCTACGAAGTCGGGGACGTATTTGTGGTATTGCTGTTGACGTTGGTCATTCTGTTGTTTCTCCTCATTGGCCACTCGGTATGCGCGGTCGATCTTGTGGTGATTGCGATGTCGGCGGTGCTGTTAGTGCTGCTGCTGGTAACGTTGCGAGGACATCCAACGCCTCGCTAGCTTCGAAATTGTGGTGGCACGGGGTGTTGCACAGTCGTGAAACTACAGTGGCGGAAGCTCTAGAAGAAAACTGCATACCACAACGCCAACAGCGGTCCACGTAGGCGGTAGAAAAAACGAGCCATTTACACCACACGTGTACACCATTTTGCTAGCCGGTCAAACGTCGCTTGGCCAAAAACGAATTACACGCGCCAAGTTATTGCCTCTCTCTTCCGACGGACATTTTCTTGCCCACGTCTTCACATTGCAGAGCCGGGGAGTGTCGAATGATCGAAACACACCTGTAGGTATCGCTGGATTCTGCCCACTCTATGAAGGAGGTCAGCCACGAGTCAACCGGCCCTTCCACGAACTCGTTCTCAAGCAAAAGATCATCGGTCGACTGCATCTCCGCCTTCAAGAAAAACGAATTGAACCGAGAGGAAAACGCCCAACTTTGTTCGTCGACCTCGCTTCCTTTCCTTCTCTTGATCACCCTCTTCCCCCCTCGACAACAGAAATGTTGTCCTTCCTTGGATGTTGTTGTTTGTCGCTTGGGGAATCTCGCCCCCCCCCCCCCCCCCCCCCATCCTCTCTCTCACGCTCTCTCTCCTCTGCCACACACACATACTTCGAGTTCGGCCCCCTGAATGTAATCTCTGACACGACGTGCTTTCATTGGTCAACCGATTAGCGCGTTCGACGCTACTATGCGGACGCCCAGTCTACGCAGGTGAAACGGCGAGCAGCCCAAAAGTAGTGGTAGAAGCATTAGCGAAGAGAGTGGTGAGGCAAACAAGGACGATGGAAGCAACAACAATATGCAACGGGGGCCGAAACGAGCACGAGTAGAACGTAGAAGTCTCGGTCGACCGTGCACATCTAACCATTTCTGTCCTGAACCCGGAGAACAACAGCCTAGCCTCTCCCATGACGCCCCCTCATCGGGTTCCTAGGTCATGTCCTTCAGATTCACTTTTCTGTTTTCAGCCGCACTGAGACTGATGTGTTTTCATTGGCAAGGCGGTTTTCGCGGTCGATCCCAATAACAAGGACACACCCACGCACCTGAACAGCCACATCTGGGTAGTCGACCTCTCGCGTGTAGACTCTCATCGGCACATACCACTCCAATATGTCCATATTGTAACTCCTCGCCATGGCCGTGTCTGTCGTTTCAGGCGAGCGGGGCAGCAATGAATGATCCACAAACAGACGGCGAGATATGCAATGCTTACGTCCATGGTGTGGCGTGCTGTTTGCGCGCAAACTAGGAAAGGGTTCCCAATCGGTGTCGCGCTACAGGGGAGGGGACAGCGGTTCAGAACGCGTCATGGACGCGTTGACCGCGCGCGCGCAAGTGTCGCACGGTGTGCCATCGTGATAGGTTTGTTTTTCTGCCAAGACGTGCGGTTGGTTGGGTGGTTGTTGCCCGACATGCCACCCCCCTCCTTCACATCTGTCTCCCGAATCATTTCCAAACTAGCTCTACGAGGGAGGCTCATGCCTAACCCTGAATTTCGGCCGAGCCTTGTCTCTGTGTCTTGGAGAACACGTCTGTCACGCTCGCCACTTCGTCTCAGTACTGTTGCCGGAGTTTTTCAGTACTGTGATGAGCCCAGCCTACCAATCGTGCAAACGACGTCCTACACCGAGAACAAGGCACGTCCAACACCATCGAGTTGTTAGGAAATAAACTGTCAACGAAACGAAATCAGGACTCACAATCTCGCGCGTAGTGGTCGTCCGGAGCAAGATCGAGCACATCGAAGCCCTGCGTCGCCTGTTGATGATTCGGAAAAAGCACCATTAGAGAAGACAATATGGTGCAGATATGACCAATCGAAAGGGTCACGTTCATCTCCCCAAGACCTGTCGAGGATGCATCCCTCGTGCCACGCAGGTCCAAACGAACTACTCCAGCAAGATTCATGTCAGCAGATTTCTTCCACGCAAACGGCACCTTTGGTTATGTTTTGGTAATGAATTTCACCAACGGCTGGAGAATTCATTTCAACGCCAGAAGTCAAACTCTACGCTTCTTGGCATACATGTACCTGCAAGTGCGGTTCTCCGACCACTTATTTTTCCTTTTCATCAGTCGTTTTCATCTGAAATAATCGTAGCTACGTAGGCTGCAGTTAATCTAGTTGGTCGGCCGGTTGTAGTATTCGAGATACACGCACTCACGCACGAAGTACGGACGACGCACCTGCGTGACGCCATAGATGCCGGAAGTAAGCAGCCAAGCCGAGCAAAGAAGCACCACGGCCTTGCCCGTGCTCGATAGTATACAAGGGGAGAACGTTTCCTTCACAAACCTGAAGGCATGCAAAGGCATACCACCGGCAATTTGTAGTGTAGCCCCGTTTTGCAGATACCATCTTAAATATGCCATTGATCACCCGGTGTTAAGCTCTGTGAACTTACAGACAAGGGATGAAAAATCGAACAGTTCCGGGTCTGGGGCACGGGCTTGTCCGCCCAAAAACAAGAATATGTCGGACAGTTTTCTTTTGTTGTATTTACACGGAGAGGATGCTGTCGGGGGAGCGCAGCACCCTCGAGCCGCCTTGGATATCCGTCAAGAGGCCAACGATTCGCGTAAAAACAGTGGAGGTGACTTTAACTCAAGGCCCCATCTCCACATTAGGACCGGCGAAGATGTTGAACTCTCGCGGGTACAGGCCAACATCTAAGTCCTCGACAAAAGCGGAAGTCTTCCAAACGGAGGGGGGGGTGACCTTATGAAAGGACCCATCTCCCCGACTCCTGCCGAGGTCGACACCGACGACTCCGTACTTTCACATCAGCCTTGATTCCCTATAGTGGCAGCAGAGCTGCGTGCTGGAGGCCGCGCAAGTGTGTGCTTTTCGTGCGGGTTGGTGAAGACTACATTGAAAATTGCATCGCCGTCGTGCCCTTGCGCTGCTCTGTTTGAACGGCAAAGGCAAGCAACAAAGACGGCGCTGTCAAGGTACGTTTTATACAGACACTTCACGGAAGGAAGGCAAAATTCTGCAGCGACGAACGCACACACACACACATATCGGCCCCTCACGGGGTCCCAGAGCATGCCCATTAGAAGCAGCTTATGTTTTCAACAGCACTGAGACGGATGCCTTTTTATTGGTCAGCCGGATATCGTGGTCCATGCCAATAGTAAACAAAACAAATACACACACACCATGCGTGGCATGCAAGGCAGAACTGATGAAAAAAATATGATGAAGACGCACCTTCCGAATTTCGACAGCTCATACACCTCTGCCTTGAAGTCGTCCTTCCCTCGGGTCTGCAGGCCATCGGTGCCTCCGCCACCGCCGTCGGTTGTGATATCGCGGTGGGTCGAACGTGGATTGACTCCACGTTGAATACTCTCCTGTGCACCCAAGCAAGCGACAAAGGGTAATGACAAAAGAAAAAGGAGAGACAAACAGACGACGACGGCAACTAGGGGACGCCGCCGCAATCGTGACCATTGCGATGATGGTGAAACAGGTATCGGCTGCGAGGCGTCAAAAGTACTCGTTGATGAACGTTCTCATGAATGCCGACGTGCTTTTAATAGCAGCAGAAGGGGCTCCATCCGCCAATGCCCGCGGGCTACCACCGCGCTAGCCTGATGAATGTCTCCATATGTACTCCCCAAACCTGAAAATAATATATAAAAATAAACACACCCATATCACAATATCATTCGCCTTGTTATTTGAATACGCTCCCCACGCACGATACGTATGCTTACCTTCTGCGACCGCTGTTGCTTCTCGGGGTGCTTTGGACTCGTGAAGCAGCAGCAACAGTCGATCTTGCCGGCCTTCTGGCGGTTGGCATCCATCGTAAGCAATGCCACGAAGGCGGTCATCTGGAGTTCCGGGGCGGATTCGGGTTGGGGATAGTAGCGCCATAACAAAAAAAAAACGCCGTCGTGAATGCCATACGACACCCGCTGAACCGCCTTCGTTAGGAATACAGCATTCAACGCTTGAAACGTTAACCCCTTTAGCCCCACCCCAAACCATGTTGCACTAAGTCACCACAACATTTCGCCGCGGAGGGGAGATATGCAGTCTCGTACATCACAAGAAACCCGGAGTGAACTGGTGGCCGGAGTAGATGTGACGCTTCAACATGAAGCGTGCGTGTGGTTATTCTGCGCAGAGGATGGGCAGTATGCGCGTTGGCCTTCTCCTCACCAAGACTCGTTGATTGTTCATGGACAAGGGAGTGTTTCTTGTACAGCTACGTGTTTCTTACGCAAATACCGGCTTTCTCTCTGCGCCTGTTATCCCGGGGGAGGGGGAAGGGGGAGGACACCAGTAGAGATCAACGCATGGCTTGTAGAGGTGAGAGGTGAGAGGTGAGAGGACGAATTTGAGTATAAAAGTTGGTGGTCGACGCTCCAGTCGGTGTTCATGCCGACTTAAGCGGCTAGGTTGGGAAGCCCAATCCCGGCGAGTGTGTATTTTCTTCGTGAAAGCTGGATAAGAAGCAACACTTGTTGGTGCGGAACGCTCGAGGGAACGACAGAGCACCTGGCAACGGACATCCCCCATGCATCCCCGGATCGGAGGCCTTCCGTTGGAGAGGCAAGGCTGTAGGGTGCGAAGTCAGACACTGCGAGCGACCGTCGACAAATGGGATGACCCAAAGAATACCTCAAACACGCTACGGAGGACCGTAAACAAAGGTCTGGTTTAGCGTATCCGTCACCATCATCGCGTTTGCTCTTGCCTGCAGGAAGAAATCAAACAAGATTGCCGTGGCGGCGTAGAGGCAGAAGTACTGGACCGCGGGCAGGGAGGACTGGGCGCCCAGGAGAAAGGCGAAGAAGTTCGTCAGCGAAGTGTCTGCGGGGGGGGGGGGGTGAGACGATCGACAAGAGAGCACCAAACAGCAGGCGAAACGAACAAGCTTGATACCTACTGTATGGTGCCAAAAAGTGGGCGGACAGCGAGGGAAGACGTGGTTCGAGTGACGTCGTGCGTGGGGTTCGAAAAACGTCATGAGAATATGACGACGTGCTACGACTTGGTGTTTCACGACGGTACCATGGACTAGGCGCATTCCGTCCAAAAGGCTGTTGGAACCGGATTTGGGAGTCAGGGGCGGTCGAGTCCTTGCTGCTGCTGCTGCTGCTGCTGTTGTTGTTGTTGTTGTTTTCGTTATTTTTTCTAAATTTCTTGTTTTTACGCCGTCGTTGTGGTGGTGGTTTTGTTATTGCTGTGGTTCTACAGGTAACGAGATGTTCTTTGATGCGGCGACGAAATAGAGGGGTGCTGTCACCTACTACAGGATGAGCTTGGAAATATGGCAATGAGATCAAACACAAGCTACACTTGGCCGTCCAAGATCAATCATTGGTACCCAACTCACAGGTAACAGACAACCCGCAGCGCTTGACTCCGAGGGCAACCCTCTCCTCCACGGGGAGTGCGCGGTCCGTGTGGTCGTACGCCGCTACGATGACAAACTGCGGAGGCCAAGGCACGGGCAAGGGCGGCAGAGGAGGTGCGAGGCGAGTGAAAGAGAGGGTGCCGGTGAGTTAAAGAGAGAGTGCCGGTGACCGTGTACAGAGGGGCGCCGAGAGAGGGGGAGACAGAGAGCAAGATGTGTGGAAAGAGAAGAGAGGGGGGAAGGGGGGCAGAAGGAACAACTACTGCGCTCAGGCGAAAGGGACGGGGTCGATCATGTTCCTGGGTATGATGCCGGCACGGGCTACTACAATAGCGTAAAATGTACTCGTAAGTCATGGCACACCCCCTGGATCGTTTTTGCTACGTTCATTTGTCCGAAACCGTCCGATTCGGCATTGGCCAGCTGGTGGGAGTGTGGTGCGATCGAGCGGATGTACGACCGTCTAGGGGAGTCTATCACGGCTCGCACGATTGCTTTAGTTAGCGAGAACGTAGATGTTTAAGCCGCTCTTGTAGCGAGGGTCCCACCCAAGCGGTGCATGGAGGGGAAGGGCGAGGTGATACGGTGGTCAGGTACACGTGCGTGAACCTCAACAGCGGTGGAACGAAAAACACGAGCGGCGACATCGATGGGACCGAAAAACGCGGCGGCACGTAGACCAAACCAAAATTCCAAACGGATAAGTAGGGCTAGTCTTCTGCGCCTGGGAAGCGACGACATCACCATAAGTCTCCCTTCAGACTCTTCGCATGGCCTGCCTGGTTCAACACTGACCATGTCATCCACGCCGATGCCGATGAGGATGAAGGGGAGGATCTGCGAAAGTGACGTGAAGGGAACGCCTACCAGGGGCGAAGTGTTGCAGCGATTCGTGGGACGCCCGGGTGGACGAACGAACACATCAACGCACGAAGAAGAGAGACAAAGAGAGACGCAAGGGCGTGTGGGAGCGAAAAGTATCATAGACGCGAGATACACACAAAGCAAAATGTCTTACGCCAGAGGGAAGAAGCAGGGTGAACCAGATACACATGGATTCAGTCAATGACACGCACAAAGAGCAGCTGTGGGGCGTATCAATCCTGTCGACAGAAGACGAGGATGAGATTTTGCAAACCGATGTCATGGACATTGATAGAAGCTTCGTTCTTGAGAGACCAACGGCTATCTGAACCTCATGCTTTTTGGTGGCGAACGAAGCAACGGCAAAATTTCGAGTAGGTCTGATGGTCAGAGCTCGCTTACCGAATCCGCTGTTGAGACCGTACGCCGCCAGGCCTGCGGCAACGACGAGCATGATGCCTCCTACCCCCAGCCAGCTCCGGCGTTCGACAGGCCCGGCGCAGCACCGGCCCAGCGACACCGTCACAAAGAGGACCATGATTACGTCTACGGCACAACAGCGCGCGCAAGATTGGGGTTAAGAGAGGAAGGCTTGGCTGGGCGCGGTCACAGCCGCATCGGTAATGATGATGACACCCGATGCACATTTTTCGAGACTGCAGTAACAGTTGAAACTAAGGGGGAAACAATTTACGCGTGAAAGGGGATTCACTAGTCTTTCGCGCGGTTTTTCGTGTGATGTAAACATGTTGGATAAAGTATACCATCGGGGAAGTTGGGTTAGGGCTAGGGTTAGGGATAGAGTTTGCGCCCCCCCCCCCTGTTCAAATTCCTCACAAACCTGTCAATCGCGCGAAGGCGGTCCAGGTGAATAGTGCTTGGTGTTGGTGGCGGTATCGCTAGCACGACAGAATCCAGTGCACGCATAACTACGGAAAACACAACAATCGAATCACAGATGAGGACGAGTTTGAAGGATAAATGATTCTTGCAACGTGTACTGTGAGTGAAAGCAAGACGCAAAAGTACATGTCCCATAATTTTCTCGAAACCTTCCCCGAATGATCACACTTTGGCTCAACGACTCTCTCACAGGTAGCGAAATAGAGGAAGATCTCGCCGGAAACGGACTCCTCCAGGGCATCGTCGAAAGACCGGCTCGTGAGGTAGAACACTTCGAAGACGTCGGCGAAGTCGTCCGTGGACGCTTCCAGCTTGTCCTGCGTACAGACCACAGAAAAGCAGCAGTACGTCGAAAGGGGACAACAACGGAGGGCTGCAGTAATGTGTGCGTACACATCGAATTTGCACAACTCCCAACGATAACAACAACTGCTCCCGGCGACAGGTGAGTTGCAGGGTTAGGAAGCATGCGACAGACGGGGGGAAAATAACTCGAATACTGTCCTCCATGTCTCGGCCCACGTTGGATACCAACAAACTTCGTCCGCTGTAGACCGGAGAGGCGGCTGAGGGTGGCGCTGATATGTGGGGATAGGGTGACAGCCGCATTGCATGAAATGATGGGTAACGGAACGTGTTCGGCGTTTTTAGCGTCGATGCCGCCCCGTCATATTCTTCGGTTCCAGCTCGTACCTGAAACGCCTCATTCCAGTCGAAAACCTCCTTGTTGATGTCCGCGTCGTCATCAGGGTCGGACGACAGCGCGTACCCCTGCACGGAAGCCGTCAGACACAACGCATCGTCACCGTTACCGGTATTGTTGTCGTCACCGTCATCATAATTGTCATCAGTTTTGGAGACAAACGGATGAGGACGGGAAAATGGGTGGAGAGGGAAGAGGTGGAAGAAGCACCAAATCCCGAATGCGCCGAGATCAGAGCTAACCTATCAAGAGTATATGCCAGCAACAATCGTGCACATGCCCAGCAATCCTCAGCACCAGCAGAAGCAGCAGTAGAAGCATCAGCAGAATACATACAGTGTTCGTCCTCGTTCGAAAGCTTCAACCACGCTCAGGTCGAACAAGGCTTGCTTGTAGGCGGACATGTTCTCCGTGGTAGTCCGGCCCCATTCCGCGGACAGACCCATCGCGGTTTACAACAGTACGACGCGTCGAAGACCACCGGCGGCGTACATGCCCTGGCCCCTTTATTAGTCGCGCACGACCACGCGGAAGACAGGCCGCCAGTCAGCATCCCCCCCCTTCACCTCCGCTCACCGCAGACCATACGCGTGACCCAGATCCCGAGATCAACTGACAAGAGTTGAAGATCTTCCACGAGCTTCTTCCCCCCTTCTTCTCACCTGGATGATCGCCTTCACCCCCGAGATGTTCCCGTCGTCGTCGTAGACGATGCCGTTGCCGAACAATGTCTGCTGGTTAACCGGAAACCCGTCCGGGAACGCCTCCACGTTCACGGCTTCAAGGACGTCCGCGTCGCTGGTGACGGACGCCTTAGCACGTCAGGGATAGGGTGAGAGCAGGTTGGAGGGTGGGGCACTAATGTGTTACGTATGCCTTGCCTGATAGACCACTGACCACGCGTCCTCGAGAGGAGGGAGCGTTGCTCGGTGCGCCAAACACTACCCTACGCCAACACTACATTTTCTTCTATGTAGTATCCGGTCATTTCGCAATGTATATGGTGTAGTTCATGTAGTTCTGTCAGGCGCCTTCCTGCTTAGTCTATTGCTAGAACTGCCACAATAGACCCCCCTTTTCGGAAACACAATAGGAGGTGGAATAGTAAGCCTGTGCCATTGAAGAGAAACATCGCAAGCAGCAACACGGACGGGGGGGCCAAAAATACGGGGTTGCCCAACACTCCACATGCTACCGCCGCCATACCTCGTAGGCGGCGAAACCGTCCCAGAACCGAGTAACCCCCCGAAACGGCGCTGCGCACGTCACCCCGTCCAGCTCTTTGGCGCACACGTCAGCGTAAGTGTGCCCGCCCCACTGAGAAATACACAAGGCGGCGCAGAGAAAACCCAAAGACCGATGCTTTGGTAGTACAGTAGTTTGGTGTTGTCGACATTCTGTATGGGAGATGTAGAAGAGGTGGTATGGGAGATGCCTGGGGGGATGAAGGCGTGGACTTCGCGAAGAAACCTAGCGTTGCCGAAAATGCTATTGTTAGGCTGTAGAAACATCAACAACAACAACAACAGCAACAGCAACAACAGCAACAGCAACAACGACAACGCCGTATTCTGAACGGTGTCTCCACCTCCACGGCCTTGACGATCGCGTCCAGCTCCCATATCGCGTCAAAATATTCCTTGGTCAGCAAACTTCCGGTTTCGGTCGGGCTCTCCACAAAAAACGCCGCAAACTCGGTCTCTGACAATCGCAACCATTGTGTTCAGGGATAGGATAGCAGGGGGGCAAGAGTAGGCCCAGGTGACAAAGATGGGCAAGGGTGTCTGAGCGCGCTAGTATGATTCAAATCGATTGTACGGGAAAGGTGCTATGAGGGGGTGGTGTGGGGTACACGGTGCGGGTGCGGGTGTGCGTGCTCGCGAGGAGAACATGCACGAAAGGCTGCAAAGGTACCTGACCCAGGCTTGCGCGCCAAGCAACTTGCGGAAAGGTGAAAACTGGCGCCCAATTTACCGTAGACAAGAGGCGAAAACAACGCCACGCCGGAACCTCACGTCCAGTATCGACAGGCCGTACAAGAAGTGTTTGCTGGCCAACGTACTGCTGTACCTTGTCGCCGACAAGAGAGAGCATGAAATACGGGTATTTGACAAGGCACTTCCATTGGTAGTCCTGTAGCACTACTGTAAGACAAGAATCAAAACCTTTCACAACACTTCAGGGGCCAGTGTAGGATTGAGTCAAGCCAAACAACGCATCCACGGATATTGTGAACAGTTGGCACTTTTCTGCGTGGATCTCAAGGCGAAAATGCAATGGCGAGACAGGTTGGCCGGCCTGCACGGGTTAGAAGAACTCACCGGCTGCGAAGGACTCGAGGATGATGCTTTGGTGTTGCTTGGCCAAGGAGTTTGCGGGCACCCAGAGGTCTTCTCCTATTGTTGTTATTGTTGTTGTTGGTGGTGTTGTTGTGATTTTGTTGGTGATTTGTGGTGGTTTTTATTTTGCCGTCGTCATGGACACGTACGAAGACCGTGGGAGGCGGGCGCGAAGGTGGGGAGAGGCAGACAATCGATCGCAGGGGTGGAGGTTGAGAGGTGGGCGGGGTTGGGTGGGGTGTTGTTGGCCTTGTTCATCCCTTTTTTCCTTTCATTGCTCTTCGGCTTGTTGGAAGGCAACAAGCTAACGGTCAGGCGGCATCAAGTCGGCGGGTGAAAATAAATACCGGCATCGTTGTTGAAACAAGTGCATTGACTATGCAAAGGATAAGGACCGTACAAGAGTACCCACGTATGTGCGCTTGCTCGCCGCCACGGACTTTTTTGTTGCTCATCCGGCGGCAACACGCACAGGCATCACACATTCCTTGTGAGGAGACTCAACCCATCCGAAGCTGAGGTGTTGACACGTACACCGTCGGGGCCCTTCGTTGGTTGTGGTTGATGATGTTGTTGTTGTTTGGCGTCGTTCTTGTCGTTGGTCTTGTGTTTGTTGTGTTGTGTATTTTGTTTCTAAGGATGCAAGCAATTCCTGATACCACACTACTGTAGGCTGCACAGATGGATACACACGTGCGCGTGCTCCCCTTTGTCGACCTCACTTATCATGAGCCTATGCAGGATGATGGTGGGTGCTCCCTACCGCACGAAAGTAGTGCATACGTACGTCCTTGTGATCGAGTACGTTTCCCCGCTCACCATCAGCCTCTATTCTAAAATTGGTAAACCCGGAGCAGCAGGCGATGACAAGGGCAAGGCTGATGAACAGGGTCCGCTTGGTATGGCTGGCCACCCAGTACCCAAGGCGGTAGAAAAAGTTGTCGGCAGCGTCGTTGATCCTGCCGTGCAATCGCGACCACGGGTTCCCCGTGTTAGGAACATCTGCACGTTGATTTTTCGGTGGGGGTGGTTTCGATGCGGGGGAGAGTAACGACGAAAATTGTTGGGGAGGAGGGACTGCGATGGATATAGGCTACATGATGCAATCCATTTTTTTGACGGGGATTGACGAACATGCTACAACCTCCTACTTCTGCGGCAGGCCTGTTGACTCAGACGGAAGCACTAACATAGACTACATACAATAGCTGGTTGTTGCCCAACCACAGTAGTGCTGAAGTAGTACCGTTCAGATGGCGTGTTTGGCCCAGACTACCAAACTTCTCCGCGCCCCGTGTGTTGCATATATTCATCAATCTATTGATCTACTGTACGCATTGATTGTTCATGTGAGGGGGGCGTAGTCTACCCCTGAAGAGTGGTACAGGCTGTACTGTGTACCGTCACTCAAGTCGACAATGATCCAAGGCGTGTCTGTCAACGATCTTCAAATGAGATACATACCGTCCTGCACCCTTACTGCCTCAAAGGGAGGTCGCACGCAAGCAACGCATGCAGAGACAGGATATAGCGTTAGCCCATCTGCTATCGTTGTACCCCCGCCCCCCTCCAGGAAACCCAAGAAGGGGATTCCATTCTGCCCGTCCGTCCGTTCAGTGGTCATGCCCATCCCCCCAAATATAGCTAAATATTTTGCGACCCTTTCATGCAAGGAAGACTGTTCTGTTGTTCTTGTATGCATGTTTTCACTACTAGTCACACCAGCCTGATGCCAGGCAAGCACCGACTGAAGCCAATAAACCAACCAACCAATCAAACCAAAAAGAGCGCAGATGCTGCTCTCCGCTGCTTGCTGCGCCGCTTGTTGTGCTCCCGACCTGCCGTGCCTGCTGTGGTGGCCTGCCGGTCCGCCGCTACCATGCTGAACCGCACCGCTCAGGCCAGGGTGGTTATTCTTCAGGACAACCACAGCAGAATATGCTGCCCTCACTGCTGCTACCCACCACCGCAATTCAATCTTGTCCGTCGGTGTTTGAGAGGAGACCAGCAGGCAGGGCGGTACAGAACGGTGCCGCTCAGTACATAGTCCAATCGCAGCCTGTAGGGGGGGCACGAGACAACGAGGCCTTTTTTTTTTTTGCGGCGGAACATACTTCGTAGTATGATGAACGGGCGGTGGAATTATGAAAAAAAAATAATATAAAAAAAAATCCCAGCACAAGACGGCTACCAAACTGTCTAGTTGAGGCTGTTACCCACAGGGGAGATATCACTGTGTGCTGCTCGGGAAACCGTGGAAATACAGGTAGCTTTCTCTGACGCTATGAATTCATTACTAATTTATCTTAGATAGAGATGGATTCGTTGGGTCATATTTAGAAGAAAAAAAAAACTTATGTACCCCGTTCGGAGATATACCAAAGGGTATTGGGATCTTTGGCCGGAGGGGGTTGTCGTTGTCGTTAAAAGCCGTTCCGGTCTTCGGTCTCCGCGCAGTTCCTTCTAACGTCCGTACTGCTCCAACTGACTCGTGCGGATGCAAAAAAAAAAAGTGATTGCTTGCCGCCCCTCCAATAAAAACAAGTGATTACTTCTTGCAAGCCACCTCTCTCTCCGTCTGCCCACCCCAGTCCCAGAAAGAGACGAGCCAGATACATTCATGCTTGCTGCGATATATATATGCATAGTTGCGGAGGCGTACCCGATGATGACCTCTTCTTGACATAGACAGCAATAAATTACTGCACAGACGGCGCCCTCGTTTCGGCCGAGGCTGGGCAGCAGTTCCTATGTAGGGTCATGCTGCGAATGATCGCACAAAACATATACCAGTTGTAGTGTAGCGTTTATTCACCGAGCTCACACATGGTGCTCAAGTTCTCAGTAGAGTTGGAGTTTCTTAGGCTCAACTTCTCTATTGCACCAAGTTCTAAAGTGCGGGCGCCTTCTGTAGTACCGCATGGGGCCGGGGATGGGGGGGTTGAGCATA